TTTATGACATCTAGATGTTGGGTGGTCCCTCAAGTATTGCTGGTTACGTTGAATGCAAACATTAGCATAGTGGTTAGTATTGGTTACTATATATTCTAAAAGATCTAAAGACAGGTTAAAGTAGTTAATAGGAGTAGAATCAGGTTCAATAATATGCTTTGGGCCATATTCAGCGATAAAAGGAACATCTTCTATTCCACAATCATCATCAAGAACAGGAATCCACAAATCTGATAGATCTTCACCATCTCTATCATTATCAGTCTCAGAGATTAAAAAAAAACATACTCAAAAATACCTCTGTGATGTTAGATGATAAACTATATTTAACCAGTAGATATTAACACTAAAACTATTATATAAGTAATATTGCGCCTTCATCAAAAAAACTTTCATCAATACTACTATTTTCTTCGCTAGTTTTTTTTTAGTTTTTTTAGTTTTCTTTATATATTGAGGTGTCTTCGTTATCACTCATTTTCACAGAAAAACATATAGAAACAATATATCAAAAGATAGAAAAAATAATCACTACTCAGTGGTACCATTCATATTTTACCAAATTCGATATTTTTGCTATAAAGGTCATAATTTTAAAGATCGCTTTTAAAAGCCACGATCGTGGTCAAAGGGTTAAAGATACTTTTTTTTATATTTTACTTTTAAATCTTTAAAAGTTGTATTTATCTTTAAAAAGTCTTTTTTTTTTAAATTAACCAACAAAGTCCAACCGAGACATAACTTAACCTTAAACAAATTTATATTGAAGATGTATTTTAACTACGCCTTATATGTAGATTTTGTTACGTTACATTACTTTTTTTTATTATTAATATAAGCGTAAAACTTATCTGTATCTATTTATCTCTCTCTCTTTCTCTCTTTCTCTCTCTCTCTCTCTCTCTCTCTCTCTCTCTCTCTCATATATATATATATATATATATATATATATATATATATATATATATATATATATATATATATATATATATATATATATATATATATATATATATATATATATATATATATATATATATATATATATAATATATACATATATATATATATATATATATATATATATATATATATATATAATATATATATATATATATATATATATATATATATATATATATATATATATATATATATAGAGAGAGAGAGAGAGAGAGAGAGGTTACAATGCTACGTCTCATTAGGTCAAAATGTTACGTCTCGGTTACGTAAAAAAACCGGACATTTTGCACGTAACGTAACGAATCGCGCTTGCGTTATGATATATAGCGTAACTTAAAAATGTTATAGGGGATAGATACATGCTTACATATATACATGCATACATACATACACACATACATACATATATACATACACACATACATACATACATACATACATACATACATACATACATACATACATACATACATACATACATACATACATACATACATACATACATACATACATACATACATGCATACATACATACATACATACATACATACATACATACATACATACATACATACATACATACATACATACATACATACATACATACATACATACATACATACATACATACATACACACACACAAACATACATACATACATACATACATACATACATACATACATACATACATACATACATAGCATACATACATACATACATACATACATACATACATACATACATACATACATACATACATACATACATACATACATACATACATACATACATACATACATACATACATACATACATACATACATACATACATACAAATCTAAACAAAGTTTTATTAACTATAAAAGTATAAAGGAATAATTTGATAAACTTGCAATCACGCCTATTTAGTTACAAATTTTGTAAACGTAATATGTATTATTAACAATTTTTTTTTTAGTTATATTTAAAAGTTAAAAAAAAAGACTTACTACGAAAATTTGCTTAGAAAACGAGGGTACTCATTTTTGCATACAGGTAAGAATAAAAGGTTTATTATCAATCATTTTTGAATGAAAAGCATCCTAAAATCTACTCTGTGTAGTATACTAAAAAGAAAGGAGAACAATATAGGAACAAAAAGAAACATTGGAAGTGGTCACAAAGCAAATAGATGTCTAAAAATCAGATAAAGCATCTTAAAAATTGATTGATTTAAAGAATGGTATTTCACAACGTGGTCTTGCAAAACGATTCAATGTATCACAACCGTAGATATGCAAAATTATAAATAAAAACGCTAGTATTTGTTATTATAAAAAAAATAAAACACCTAAAAGAACACCAGTGCAAAAGCCAGCTGTTTGTTCCATTTGCTGTAGACTAATTTTAATTTTTCGGAAAAAATAATTGTTATTGACAATAAATCATACTTTTATTTAAGCAGCATTAATATTTCTAGAAACGCTGGATTTTACTCTTTAACATAAATTGGGTATCAAATAATGTAAGGTCGAAATTAAAAGACAAATTCGAGCCAAAATTACTCATTTGGGTTGGACTCTCGACGAAAAGAATCTCTCAGCATTATATGCTCCATCTGCTTAAGCAGTTAATGAAAATGAATATATTTTAAAATGTCTTGTTAAATTACAAAAAGTTATTGAGAAATATCATAATAATGACAGTATCATTTTCTGGCCTAATCTTGCTTTGTCACATTATTCACGCAAAGCACAAGACTAAAGTTAAAAAATGTTGAACTGTTATCAAAAGTGGATAACCCTGTTAATGTTCCAGAATTACGACCAATTGAAGATGTTTTGGTCTGAACTTAAAAAGTTGGTGTACGAAAAAAATTGGCAAGCTGAAAATTTAGATAAACTTAAAAAAACGGATCGAGTTCTCAATCAAGAAAACTGAGATAAAACGGGTACACCGGCTAGCTGCCGCAACGTTTACAAGAGTGGGCACTGTTCGTCGTCATGGCATGAAAAACTTATTAAATCATTTAGTTTTATTATTTAGACTTTTTTTGTTATTATATTTTTTAAATTAATAAAAGTAATCATTCCATTTTACAAGATTAAATAACAAGTTAGAAACGTCAAAACAAACATTTTATTTAAGTTGTAAGATAAGATATTGTTTAGATAACAATAGTAAGAAAAAGTATTAATTTGATCTTCTTTAATTTAATATATGAAGGATTTAGTTTCTATAGATTAAATATTAACTTGTTTTTGTACTTTATCAGCAAAATTCTTTAGAAAAAGGTTTATAATACGAACACAAAATAAAGATATTTCAATTTTCGTTTTTTTGTTTTTCTTTAATAATACTTTCTAACACTTACTTTTTTATTTTATTTTTTTAAATAATGTTTGATTGTTGAAATCCTATGTAATCATTTTGTATAAATTTATTTAATAAAGTCTAATTTTTTTTTTATAGAAACTAATTCGATGATGACTCTAAAAAGTAAAATTTAGTAATATTTAAATATTAGTGGCTTACATCATTTATGTGTTTAAGCTGTTGATTCCATTCGAGATTAAGTTCGATTTACTATTATCGAAGTGCTTTCGATTTGAGATTTGATAAGAAAATTATAGTTTCGATTCATAGGGCCTTAATATATACATAGATTACACATATTATAATGTAAGCATATAATGGAATATATTATAATATTTAAGCAGCCATGACGTAAGAAGTGATTAAAGCGCTGGCCTCAGAATCAAGAGGTCTGGGGTTCAGTGTCTGCTCTGGCCTTAAAAAAAACTTAAAGCTTAGTAAGACAAATATGTTTTCTAAAATAAAGAATATAAAATAATTTCTATAACATATACTTATTTTTGACTTTTGAAAACTATAATTCAAAAAAAAAAGGAACAACATGAAAACTAAAGGAAAAAAGTTGATATATCGTTAAAAGCAACTCATTGATAAGTCGCTAATAAATAATTAATTTACTAAAAAATTATTAACCTGCAAATACGACTTTGTAGTAATTGTACTGTGTTGTCAAAATTTTAAACAGAAACTTTGATGCTTAAATTGCCAGTTTTGTTAAATTTTATATTCACTTTCTGGTTTTCAAAAACCGGAAACGCGTTCATTCGAGTATCAGCTTGATTTCTTTGGATATGTTTTAATGATGACTTTTGTTGACACATGTTTTTGTTGACAATCATGCTTTTCAAATAAATATTATGATTGATGATGATAAATAAAGATTACTTACTTAAATCTCTTTATTTATGCAGATATCAAATTGAAAAAAAAACACATTTATAAATCAATGTCGCGTTATGACGTTTTTATAAACCTGTAACAAACCGGTTGCAAATACCGGGGGAGTTTTATATCCTTTTACCGGGGGAGTTTTAAATCTTTAATCCAGATACTAACTAAAATACTAAAGAAAATACAACAAAAACAAATATATCATAATTTTTATTTTGACCAATAAATAATGAAGCCTAAAATTATTGATATTAATATTAATTAATGCTATATATTAACAGATATATTAATGTTATTTAATAACAACAACAGTATTATTTTAGTCTTTAAAAATACAAGTACACCTAAAAAAACACAATCAAAAGAATTAAACATAAATTTTATTCTAAAAAATAGCTTAGGCAGAATATATATGAAACGTAAAAATGAGCGAATTACTAATTACAGATACCCATAAGCAGTATAACAAGTCAATTACTTTAAAAAACAACTGATTATATTACAAGACATGGATTTGAGTGGAACAACTCAAAAGTAAAAATGTTAAATACATTATAAAAAACATCCTTTTTTTCTATAATAGAGAGAGATCAAATTATCAAAAAACAATGACAAGGTGCAATTATAACCTTAAACAGAAACATATAATCTAAGGTGTAACTCGATTGCTCCCCGTTACATTTATTAACAAATTACATCCATAATGATTAAAAACAACAAACTTATATATAAATTTAATATTAACGTCGAAAACAAACTTTGATAAACCAGCAATTAATTCTTTTTTGCTTTTATTGAAGAGATCTGATTAATCTTAAGATAGGCTTAAACATTTTGAATAAACAAGTTTAAACATTTTGAATAAACAAGTTTAAACATTTTGAATAAACAAGTTTAAACATTTTGAATAAACAAGTTTAAACATTTTGAATAAACAAGTTTAAACATTTTGAATAAACAAGTTTAAACATTAAGATGTTGTTGCCTTTGATTTTTACCGACTTTTATCTCAAATTTAGTTATATATCATAAAAACTAATTTTTGAAATTTCATTTGAAGCAATAATTATTTAGCACTACATTTTGAAAATAAAAAAAACTAACATGATGTAACTTAATATAAATATTTAAAATATGCATGCTTATATTTTAACTATCATTGTTAGGCCAACCAAATTAATGAATCAGCATTAAAAGTTAACGAATAATAAGTATAATTAGTGAGTACTAATAACTTTTAGTGTAAAAACCATTTTGTAAATAATTTCTATTTTCACGTTTTAAGAAAATCGAATTAATAAATTGAAAAAGAAGTTCCTATTCTTGTTTTGAACAGTATGCCTTCTATACCAATGACTGATTTTAACTTTTTGCTTCGTTACCTTTCGCTTCGTGTTTGTTAATATCTTATGTTTGGCAAATACTTTTATTAAATTTTAATTTAGTTAGTTAATTTTAAAATAGCTTTTAATGTTAACTTAAATTGTTAAACCAACTTAAAACTGATTTATGCTTACCTACACTATTCTAATATCAACGTAAACTTTTTTTTTTGGAAAGTGAGTAGAATTACGAATTCAAATGATTAAAGAAAAGGAAAAAAAAAGAATAGTTTATATTTGATGTTTAGCATTAAATGTTTTTATCCATACATTAAAAATTTGAGATTTTTTTATCAATCACGCCAATTACTTTTTTAAATGTTCAACTATAAAAAGATTGGATACAATAAAGAAATAATATAGTATTTTGACTAGATACATTATGCTAGAAACAAGGTGTACCACAAGGATCATCACATCAGTGCTTTGTTCAATTTTATTTTTAATATACATCAATGCTCTTCCAAATCAACTTGCAAACCAATTGATGTTGTATACAGATGATTATAAAGTAATACCTGAAGTTAATAATGAAACGGATGCACATCCTTTACAAAATGGCATTGCTATATTAAAAAAATTGGTAACAAACCGGAAAATGCAATTCGATTTCAAAAAATGTAAAATCATGCATATTTGTAACGAAAATAAAAGTTATAAACATTTCATGGCTAACAATAAAATAAAGAAAGAATTAATTACTACTAATTTGAAAAAGAAACTAAAAATCAAAATTGCATCATCTATTGCAAACTATAAATTTGTTACAATATGCAAATCATTCAAGTATAATGAAAGTGCTGTATTGTAGTTATATACGTCCGCATTTAGAATTTGCAATACAGGTATAGAGTAAACGAGTAACAAAACCTGTACCTGAGCTACGTCATCTATCATACAACGAAAAACTAGATAAAATGAAATCGATATCTATAAAACAACAAAAAATACGAGGAGATCTCATACAAATGTTAAAATGGTAGTATGATATTGACAAAATAACTTCAAAAACACCCCGTCAACAATCGTGTTCTTTAAAATTTTCAGGTCCATCTTCAAATATTCGAGGTAGCAAACATCATTTATTCACCGATAAGAAATATTTGAATAGAAATTGTGAGGTTTTTTTTACAAATCGCACAGTCGAATTCTGGAACAAACTACCAATTGTAACGCAACTTATTTAAAACTAAACTAAACTTAATCGAGTATACTTAACTTTCTTGTTTAATCGAGTATACTTAACTTTCTTGTTTAATCGAGTATACTTAACTTTTTTTTTTAGACTGTAAATGATTTAACATGGCGTTAAACTTCAACAGTATTGTATATTATTATTATTATTATTAAAATATAAATGATAACAACCCAAAGTTTAGATATGGAAATAAAATAGCATGCAGCCTATATGCTATTTTAATTCCACATGCAATTTTTGTCTTTTTAAATTTTTGGTGTATGGCATAAAACTTTTATTATTATTACTTTATATGGTATAAATATAGAAATTATTTTTTAAGCTTTAACTTATTAAACAAAACTATTTTCTGCTCTTTTTTTTTTTTTTCATTAGAACAAAACATCAAATTCTTTTTTAATAAAAGACTTCAAAATTTATAAATATTAAAATACAACAAAAAAAATATCAGCCTTATCTAATAACACTTTAAATTGTAAACAAAAATAATACCTGTTCTTTTTGTCTTCTCTTCAAATCACACAACTTTAATTTTTTTTGTTTTTATTTTGAGAAAACTGTGGACAATTTGTTTTATTTGCTTTACTTGAAACTGAACACTTTTCTATTTTCATTGATTTTGTGTTGAAAAAAAGTTAGTTCATGCAATTATCAAGCAAATAATTTAAAATAAAACAAAACAATTTAGAGTAAAATATATCATTTAAAAAGTTTTTATCTTCACAGCGAAATTAGATATGTAAAAAAACAGGTAAAGTACTGGCTGCTGGTTCTTACCAGCAAATTCAGTTGCCAAGAAAAGACTGGGGGAATTCCCCAACAAAAAAAAAAAAAAAAAAAACATTTTTTCTTTATAGTGAAATTATATTTACATTATTTGAAATGATATTATTATTTTAAAAAGTCAGTAGAACTTTAAGAGAGTTAAACATATAAAAATCCAGGTTGTATATTGCAATATGCATTGCGCACACTTCTGCTTGACATAAGATGTATGAAAATCTGTAAAGAACCGGCTGCTGGTAATTTTAAAGCATTAAAAACATATCTGCGCACATTTGTAACCAAAAATAATCTATCGTGTAAAGATGTTTATGTTGTTGGTGACATGAACATTAACTTGTTCAATCACGTAAATAGTAAAGCCAAATATTTTATTAATGCTCTCCTCGTGTACAAACAAACCTCAACATTACTTTATAATATAATCACTTTCCAATATTTCTTATTAATAATAGCGTAACTCTTAAAAGTATTCCGTACTTTTCGAATCAAAAAATTTATAAGAAAATTTGCAAGTTAAGCAAATAAGAATGAATTGTCTTACAAATATTCTAAATGCTAATTTCAAATTTTATTAAATGATTACGTTGATTGAAATCTTATATTACAATCACATGAGGTAAATAATGTATATAATTTATTCTTGAACAAATTTTAAAATGTATATTAAGGCAATTCTTATTGAAAAAATGAATTGTAATGTCCATAGATGACAAAAGGCTTACTTAAATCATTGAGAAAAAAGCAAAAATTGTATGAAAATTATTCAAAACATAAAACGTTTAAGAACGAAATTGAGTTAAAAAAAATAAAAAAATTTATTTGGAAAAGCTAAAAAAATACAAAGATGAAATAAATTGAAAAATATCATAAAGTTGCTAGAAAAAAAAAAAAATTGGAAACATTCGCAAAACATTTGATAATACTTATATTTTATTTGGCAAAACAAACTGCAACAAAAAACTTGCCACAAAAACTTTTATAGATGGAAAAATCACTTATGATAAAGAATTTATAATTGAGAAATTTATTCATTAATGATTTTTCCTTGATGTTGGTCCAAACTTAGCAGCAAAGATTGCAAAAAAGACCAAATTAGTGTTAAAGTAATTGAATCTGTTTTTGATTTTTTTTTAACCTTCATTGTTTCATATTTTTAGTCTTTCATCTAAATCAGATTGTATTCTAGATAAATTAAAATCAGCTAACATTACCCCAAGGGACACGGACGTAAAAAAGACGTCTTTTAAACGTTTTATACACGTTTTGGACGTCTTTTGAACGTTTTGGACGTCTTTTGAACGTTTAAAAGACGTCTATTTTTTGGGTTGGTACCCACTGGGACACCTATTTTCAAAAAATGATGAGACTAATCTATCAAACTTTAGATGGTGATGAGATTTTTCTTTAAAACTTCAGATGATGATAAGACATTTTTATTTCAAACTACAGATGGTGATGAGACTTTTATTTCAAACTTTAGATGGTAATGATATATTTCTTACAAAGTACAGACCTCTTTTTATGTCTTGCTCTGCTTTTTAAAACTAATTCAATTTGTTATGTATCGTAGACTTTATA